TTTCTCTTCTTTGCACTTTGCGTTCTCTAGCGTTGCACTTATTCCTTTTACTGCCTAATACTGCTACGCTACGCCTAATACTACTACTTAATATCTTTAATTTAATTATTTTAGCATTAAAGCCCTAGTTGTAGAGCTGCAGCTTGTGTAGTTTATTGTCTCTGCATGAATTTCTTAGAGTGCTAGGGAGCTCTAGCGCTGCTTCTGCCTCTGCCTCTGCCTCTCTATTGCTGCAAAGATTAATGTAGTACATGTAATACCTTAATAAGCTGTTTTGCTTGCATAACTGCTAGTTTAGCTTCTTTAACTGCTGTTTAAATATAATAGGCTAATGCCTAGAGGTGTTAGTAAGAGATTACTTAGCAGTGTTAGAAAATGCATAAAGTAAATTACAGTAAATTGTAGTAAACTACAGCAAATTGCAGTAAACTATAGCAAATTACAGCAAATTGCAGCAAATTGCAGCAAATTAAGGCAAATTAAGGCAAACTACAGTAGATTACAGCAGCAGGCAACAATCCCTAGTAGATATTAGTTGTGTTGCAAGTAGCTCTACGTATAGAGAGGGTTCTAGAGGGGTAATGCCTCTAGAAAAAAAGCCTTACAAAGAGCAGCAATAATTACACATAAGCTAGTATTAGCATAATAAGAAATTACTAAGCTTTAAGCAGCTAATAAGGTAGCTACATTTAAAAAAGCCTACTCTTAACAGCTTAAAATAAGTTTAAAGTGCGCAGTAATAGGAAAAAGGCAAAGAAGCAGGTGTAAGCTAAAGTAGATAAGCAATCCTAAAGGCGCTGCAAATAGTGTAATTAGACTAGGCATAACATGTAAACATGTAAGCAAGAAGTAGAAGTAGTATCTAAATAATATTCTAGGCTGTACTGTACTCTATAGTGCTGGAGTAGGTTGTTATAGGCTATAATAAAGTTTGTTGTGGTGTGGTCTTAGCAAAAGTAAGCAACTTAGGTGTGCGAGCAACTGCTAATCCTCGACACACTGATGCGGCTAATGCCAATCCCCGACACACCGATGCGGCTGATGCTAATCCCCGACACACTAATGTGGCTAGAGAGGTGGAACAGACGCAACTAACTATAATTTAAACATGTTTTACACAACGCATGCTAGAGCAAACTGTATGCAAATTAGCCTAAAGGTGCATTTACATTAGGTATACATTTCTTTTTAAAAAGAATATAAGTGTTAGATTAAAGCACTGTTTCTAGGCTTCCTAACATGAATGATGGGTTTTGGATATGATGTATGGGATTGTGATTAATTGTATTAATTGATCGATTTTTTTTTTTTAGTCTGCTCTGCTCGTGTTGCTCAGCTTTGTTTTTCCGGTCCGAGTCCCTCGCGCACTAGCCCTATGCGCGACTAGCTTGCAACATGCTGCAATTTGCAGCAACATACTGTTCGAGCTTATTGCTCGTACTATGTAGCAGCTTTCGTCCAGCGTTCCTCCTGTCTTGACAGTAGGTGCGCATATCTGACAATAAGAAACGCATAAGGTGACAGAGAAACAGCGTTACTAGGGTTTATCTAAAGAAATTCTAACTAACTAGCGCGTTCTAAAGAGGAGATTCTGCTTAACTTTTTGTTCTGCAAACCTAAATATAATAAGCAGAGCGAGCTTTGCTAACAAGCTGTACTAATAAAGCTATTTATAAAGCCTAACTACCCTATTTTAATGTATAGCATTACTAGGATAAGTTATAAGAAATAAAGTAAAGTATAAGTAAAACATAATTAAATACACTTATATAAAGAAATAAAAAAGTAACTTTTTAGATAAAAATAAAAGGTTGCTAGTATTTATACACAGTAGCAGCATTACAGTCTAGATACTAGTTATTTTGTATAAAAAAATTACATAGCTATATTACATAATACTTATATGTAAACCTTTATGTGTAAATATTTAGATTTTCCTCTTTTCCTCTATACAAAGGAAAAGACAGAGCAATACAACTAGAAACATGTTGCCTCCACTCTACCTACATTGTACGCTGTACACCCTGTACACTACTCTTACTCTTGCTACTTAAGTGCTTATACTATAAGCAGCTAGCTAAAAGAGCCTATTTAACACATGCTAAGTATAATCTAGGCTATGTTAGCATAAGCTAGCTTAGTATGTTTATAAAGTGTTATTTAAACCTTAAAGTAAAGTTTAAGTGTAAATATAACTATAAAAAAGCTTTTTATAAAAATTTTAATGTAACATAAACCTTGTCTAGCTTTATAAAAAATATTAAAGCTAAGTATAGTATTAAGAATAATAATATATATAACTTTAATAAAATAAACTTTATAATAAGCTAAATATTTACTAACTATACTTATACTTAAAACTTTACTTTAAGCTTTAAATAATACTTAGTATGTAAAGAATTAGCTATATTAGCTATAGTTACTAGCTAAAATGAATTTATATATATATATATATAACTTTAGGATGTACTAAATAATTATTTACTTTTTATTATTATTTAGCTTTTATAAGTTATCTATAAAATTAGCTTGTAAAAGTTATTTAGTGTATTAGTTATTTATTATTTTTTAAAAGATTTTATACATAGCTATAGTATATTACTTTAAAAGTGTGACGGCGTGTACCGCCTCACATGCTCTGCGGCATCAGCTCCCTCGCTTGCGCAACGAGTAGCACGCTAGTGCTACGAGTAGCGCCCTGGCAGGGGGCACACATGTATATTTAAACTCGCAGAGCAGCTCCTCTGCTCCTTAGTTTAATCTAGTTGAGTTACACCACCTCTTGCTTGTAGCTTGAGCATGCCGACCGTGACAAAAAGTCTGTAAAAGCTTAAAGTATAAGCTATAACATACATTATAGGCAAGTTGCTTACACACCTAAATTGTTTACCCTTGCTAAGACTCTACTAAACTACTTTTCCTATTCTAATGCATTTCTAACAACGCTACTTAGACATGCTAAAAGAATATTAGATATAGCTTATACTCTACACTTTTAAATAAAACGTAATACTTTTAAAATAATATGCTATAGCTATGTATAAAGTTTTTAAAAGATAATGAATAACTAATACATTAAATAACTAACACACTAAATAACTAACACACTAAATAACTAACACACTAAATAACTAACACACTAAATAACTAACACACTAAATAACTAACACA